GGGGGTACTGGAGATCGAACTCATGACCTAGCACTTGCCAGGCAGGTGCTTATGACACTGAGCTAAATCCTTGGCCCTTAGATATAATATTTTTTGAAAATTTTTTATCTGTGGTTGAATCCAGATTTGGACAGAACCTGATGATACAGAGTACCAACTCTCTTTTATCATAATACTGTATTATGTAATATTCTTATATATGTAATAATATTGTGAAATATAATAGTTGGTCTTCACCTATCTCCTGACATGCAGTTCCTAAAACTCTGGGAATCTCCAAAGCAGTCAGAGCGTCTCTTGTATGCTAATGAGATAAAGTGGCTCTGGTCTCCTGGAGAACTTCAGGATGGAATAATCACCAGACAGACAAAAGGCATGATCAAAGAATTGAACGCTGAGTAATCAGTAGTGATTTAACCCATTATGTCTATGCAAAGACCCTCCCTAAATACCCCACAGGACTGAGTTCCTAGAGCACCTAGACAGCAGAACATGTAAGAGGTCCCTGGAGGTGGTGAGCCTCCAGGTATGCATCTCTTTTCTCTGGCTGTTCATCTGCATTTTCTGCAATGTCCTTTATCATAGAAAAGTAAACATAAGTAAGTACTGTCCTGAGTTCTGTGAGCCACTCTAGAAAGTCAGTCGAACTCAAGGAAGAGATCATGGGACTTCTCAACTAGAACCAGGCAGTCAGAAGCACAGATTACAATCTGGAGCATGTGATAGCATCTCATAGTGGCAGAGGTGAATAGTGTCTGAAATGGATTCAATTACATGATATCCTACTGGTGTGCAGCGCAAAACTGCTTACTTGGTGTACAGGGTAATAACCCCCATGAACCTGGGTTCACAGAAACATTCCCTGGTGCCTAGAGGGTAAAGACTAGGGTGAGGAATGCTTGGATTTTGTTTTGTTTCCTGACAGATTCAGATTTATTTATTGAAGCAACAGGGATCGCACTTGCCAGGCAGGCACTGTGCCACTGAGCTATATCTACAGCCCCTGGCAGAGCCAAATTAAAATAACCAGCAAGAAGCCAGGTATGGTGGCTCTTACCTATAATCCAAGCACCCTGGGATGCTGAGGAAGGCCCTCAGCCTGAGCAAGGTAGTGATTTAGCCAGAGCCTCTCTTAAAATTTTATCTTAAATAAAAAACGATTAGGAATATAGCTCAACTCAAAGGCCCTGGGTTTAGGCGTGCTAGAGAGAGAGTATATACAGCCTTTGTGTCACTGCTACATACACAGCATTTGTGTCCCCCACAAAATATGTATCCTGAATTCTAGCATCCGCCCCCAATTTAATGGTATTAAGGGGATTTTCATTAGGTCATGGGGTTGGAACCTTCAGAGTGCAATTAATTCTCTTAGAAAAAGAGAAAATTGAGTTTCCCAACTAGACACCAAGTCTTCTGGCACCATCATCTTGGACCTCTGAACTGGGAGAAATAAATTTCCGTTGTTTTATAAACTGCTCAGCCCCCTGCTATTCTGTTACAGTAGCTGGCACAGATTCAGACAGTCCTGAGAGGGTTTCCAGTGTGATCCAGGGGGGATGATTTCTTCAACACACAATGCAGACTGAAGTGACAGGTCCTTCAGTCACTGGCATTTTGGCTTTGGTTTTTCTTCTCTTCATCTTCCTCTTCTCCTTCTTCTTTTTGGTTTTTCTACTTTGGTGGATTTTGACAAAAATGAATGCTGTTTTCCAATGTGCTGTGATATGCTCACAAAAGTGAGACAATAGCATGGAAACAAACATGATAACCTCTACTCTGCACCTTTGTTATCCTTGTGCTTTGGTTTTGATGTAGAGAAATCATGTGGTCATCAGATAAACCCCACTGTCACAGAGGCCCTATTATCCAACTCCCCTGAGAGCACAGTATTTCACCAAAGGATGCTAAGAAGATAGAACTCTGCTCTCTAAATTCTGAATTTTGGCACCAAGGTGAACATCAAGGTGATGCTGAGTAAGATGATAAAAGCATTATAAAGCAGAAAGTAAAGGCAGAGAATCCAAGGTTTTGCACATGCCAGGCAAGTGCTCTGCCAGTGAGCCACATCCCTAGCCTGACAGAGTCTTTTAGTGTTCATCTGATTGAGAGAGAAACCCTGTCCCTACTTGGAAAATCCAGGCACTTTTACTAATGGCAATGATCACCAACAATCAGAGAAAAGGCACCTCGTGGCCCCAGAGCTAGCTGTGTTGCATCAAAATGAAAGGCCAGGTGCCAGGCAGAATGCCACATGCCTGCAATCCCAGCCCTTGGGAGACTGAGGCAGGAGGATCCTTGCAAGTGTGAGACCAGCCTGAGCTACAAAGTGAGCTCAAGGCCAGCCTGAACTGCATAGTGAGACTGTCTTTTAAAAAAATAAAAAAAGAAAGGCCAGGTCCTGGCCTCTGTGTGGGATCTTATCAGAGGGCAATAGAAAGGTTAAAGATTCAAGAGAGGGAAACCTGGATGTGGTCCCAGCTCTGCTATCACCACCTGACCCTGGACAAACCTAACTCCCTGTCTGTGCCTCTCCTCCCCTGGCTGTTACCAAGAAAAGAATAATGTCTATTATTGGGGTGGTCAGGAGGCTCAAAGCAAATTAGTTGATTAGTTGATCAGGGGAAGAATGTTCAAGGACATGTATAGAAAATCTCAAAATGTTAGAAGCCACACAGTCATTCTGTCATTGTGGCTCTGGTTATAACTACACTTGCATTCTTCAAAATTCCTCTCCTATTACTTTAATTTTTCAGGAACTCTGAGGGGAAGGGTAAATAATAATTCACACCATTTTACAGGGGAGAGAGATTAAATGTACTGTCCAAGGCTCTTGACTGCACTGTGCAACCAACCAGGGCTTTCTACTCAAGCCAGCCCAACAGTACTGCACAAGCATCTTCAAAATCAGTGCTAACCCAGGCATGGTGGCGCACACCTATAATCCCAGCACTTGGAAGGCTGAGACAGGAGCATCCTTGCAAATTCTAGACTAGCCTGGGTTACAAAGTGAGTTCAGGGCCAGCCTGAACTGCATAGTGAGACGCTGTCTCAAAAAGACCAAAAAAAGAAAAAGACAAAGACAAAAATAGGGCCGGAAATATAGCTCAGCAGTGTAAGCACCTGCCTGGCAACTACAAGGTCCTGAGTTTGATTTCTGGTACAAAAGACAAAAATAAAAGAAAGTAAAACAAAACAGGGCAAGACTAAAATGGTCTGATGACACATACCTATAACCCTAGCTATTCTATGAAGCTGAGACAGGAAGATTGCAAATTCAAGCCAAGTTGAAACAATTTAGTAGGACTCTGTCTCAAAATAATTTTTTAAAGAGAATAAAACCAAACAGAATAAAGCCAATTAAAACAAAACAGTGAAAATGATATAGGATTTCAAAACAGGATAATAGGAAAATCAATCATTGCTGCCATAATGCTTCTTGTTATCTTCAAAATTTCTGCCCATACTATCAGACATAGTAAAGTCAAATAAACAGAATTATAATAAAACCAATAAAAACAAAACATTGAATAAAACAAAATAATCAAATGGAGCAAAACCAAACAGTGAGAACAATGTAGGATGTCAAAAGCAAGACAGAAGGAAATCCCCCATATTTGCCATACTGCATATTGCTATCCTCTAAATAGATGCTCAGATTACCAGCTTTAGACCTGTAAAGTCAATCAAATAATACAAGCATTAAGTTGTTTTTGTACCTCAGTTGCTATCAATTCAATCTGTGATCCTCAGAATTCCCCAGTTGCTTATGGGGCAGGGTAGGTGGGGGTGGGAGACTGGACTTTTTGTCTCCCAGCCTGTATGCCCTCCGGCTCACGGGAAGGGCTCATCTTGTTTCTCCTCCCAGCCCACAATTACCACTCTCAAAATAAAATTTTATAAAAGAACTGAAGAATGAAGCTCAGTAATAGTGTGCTTGCCTCACATATGCAAAGCCCTAGGTTCAATCCCCAGTACAAAAAGAAAAATAAGTTGGGGGACAGTTTTTGTAGTCATGGATGCACATATGGATGATAAGACTCTAGAGCTATGGTGGTGAACCTATGACATGCATGCCACAGCAGGTGATTTATATCACTGAAAGTTCTAAAAGATTTGTTCTCACCACTTTAGAGAAAGGCATGGAAATGATTAGTGGGAAAGTCAGGATTGCTTTCAGGCAGAGGGAGGGTTCTGTGGTTCTTCTATGAAACAGCTTTCAAGGTTGGTGGTAGGTTTTATTTTTTGACCTAAATGATAGTTTCAAGGGTATTTAAGGTTCACTTGTGTTTGATCTGTTTTCTGTATCTGTTCTTCTATTCTTAAAAACCATGTAGTAAAATGACTTTAAGAATAGAAGAAATTGCATAGTGAAACCCTGTCTTAGAAGAAGGAGGAGGAGGAGAAGGAAGAGGAGAAGGAGGAGGCAAGAAATGTTACCCTGTGCCAAACTACCACAGTCCTTCTGCACCCCACCACCGGATACTCCTGCTTCCTGTTCCCTCCCCTTGAGTGTGGGTGTGACCTGTGACTTGCTTCTAACCAACATATTAGGGCAAAGGCAATGGGGTGTCTGTAATCAGGTGATTATGTGTTTATCACATACTATTTCATGTCTGACTTGCTGGGAGACTTCTCTCCCTGGTTGGCATTAAGGACACAAAACAGCTGTGCTGCAGAAGCCCTTGGGATAAATCGCTGAGGACGAGCTCCAGCCAGCAGCCAGAAAGACACTGAGACTGGGCCTTGCAGCCCACACCTGAGTCTGGTAGCTGATCCTTCCCTGGCTGAGCCTCAGATGACGCCACCAAGGGCCCAGCTGACGTATGGATCACAGCTGTGAAAAGCAGACTTAAACTCTTAAATTCTGCCCTGGAGACGGCTGACCTGAACACACTGAGATAATCAGTACGTTGTTTTGATAAGTAAACCATGTTCCTCATATTTGGGGATCTCAAAGGCCACCCCCAGGTTTGACAATTCACTACAAGGACTTAATGAACTTACAGTTAACAGTTTATTACAGTGAAAAGTCACAGAATAAAATCAGCAGTGGGAAAAGGCACAGAGAATGGGGCCCAAGGTGAACCTCACCCATGGGAGTCCTGAGGACATGGCTTTGTTCTCCCCGCAATGGAGTCCTGGAAACTCCCAGGTCTCCCAGGCTTTACGGGGGTCAGTCATGTTGACACAGTCCAGTGCCCACATGGCTCACTGGGTCTCCAACTTCTTTTGAGGTCAAGATGCTCCTCCAATGCCCAAAACTCCCAGGTAAACGCAGTCGCTCTGAGCAGGCCAGATCTTCTAAAGGCTTAGCATTCATCTCCCAAGCGCCAGTCAGAAGTAAGTCTTCTCCACATGTACAGGCTTCAAGAACCTCAAACCTGCTCAGTTAACGCTGCACCACACAAAAGGATTAACTCCAAAAGCGGGATATTCAGTCAAATTTCTAACCTGCTTGAAGGCAGGGGTGATATCAGGAAACTACTGATTTAATCCATGAGGAATCTTTAAATCTTTGCTTGCTTTATGATCAGGGAGTTTCCTGGCTGTAAACCAAATAGCCAGAAGGCAGGGTGCAGGGGAGAGGAGGCTGAGACCTCACATTCATACACAAGGCTCTCCTGATTGGCCACTGAGTAGAAGGCGAGCTTCCCCTCCTCCAGGTCCAGCCAGATGCCTACTACCCCAGGTCTATCTGATCCCAGGACAGTTTCCTTGGCCATGGTCCACGCAGAGAGTTTGCCAGTGTCCTTCCATTCAATACACCATGAGTCGTTGGTCCTTCCCAGCATCCGGTCCCGGGCCATGGTCCCGGAAGCCACCCCAACTGCCCAGTTGTTGCAGTACTGAGTGTCCACTTCCCAGTACTGCCGCCCAGATGACAGGGCTTGGGAACACACCACCTGGCTGGCTGAAAACCTCTGGGGACTCCATAGATAGTTCTGCTGGCAACGACACACTGTCACTTTCCGGCAATCCTTAGAGACCTCCAGGCTGCAGGACAGGCTCTCCAAATCAAAGGTTGGTGTGATGGCCCCTGGGGCGGAGAAAACAACACGGGGACAACAGGGCCAAGTTAGCTTTTGATCATCCCTGTTAAAATCTCCCTCAACAGCAAAAACAACATTGTATCTTTTGACCTTTTACTTATATAGGCAGATAAACCCCACAGATCAACGTTCAACTGTCTACCCATACACTTTATGCTGGTGCAGCTACCATACTCACTCCTGCCTTATAAGGTACTTCTCAGTCTTTGAGGATACTGTCTCCAAGTCCCACCCAGCACAGCTGTCTCTTGCTTTTCTCAATATCCCTGTGCTTTATGAGTATGACCACAAATGTCTGTATATCTCTAGTTAAACTTCAGCTCTCTGGTAAAGGTTCGTATCTTACCCATTTTGCATATTTTATATTGCCTCCTTTAGGGAAAGAGAAAAACTGCTGGGATCAACTCACAGCCTCACGTATGCTAGGCAAGAGCACCACCATTGAGTGCACTCCAGCCCCCCATGCATCCTAGGAGAAAATAAATGCTCACTGACACTTGTGTACAGTGACTACTGCAGGTACTTGATACACATGCACCCCTGTAACCCTCATGGCAGTGCCACAGAGAAGTCCTGTTACCATTTCCACCTTACAGATGAGGGAACCACGGCTCTAAGGGGCTTAGTAACTCATCCCAGCTCCCCCAGATAATGAGCAGAGCTGTTGGAGTCAAACCCATGGCTCCAGGATCCATGGACAGTAGCAGTACCAAGGATGGATGGGGAAACAGGCAGCCAGCTGTAACTGGTATGGATGCTCACGGCTTACAGGGCTTGTGAGTATAGCTGGGGCTGGAATGGGGGAATCTCAACCTTCTCTGTGTTTGGACTGAGCTCCACATGTGAGAGACCTAGTCTGAGAGCAAATCCATGGGCTTTGCATCAGGAAAATGGGCACAGCATGTTCTCACAGTCCCTTTCTGCAGTGGACCAAACGCAAGTTTTTAAGTGCACCACATACTTACACTGAGCAAACTGAGAGACCCTCCTGGGTGCAGGCCAGCTCTGCTCAGGCTGTGGGCATGAGGAAGAAGGCACAGCTTCTGGGAGTTCCACTGAGGAATCAAAATTAAAAAAACAGGCATAAGTCCCATCAGAAAAAGGCAAGTGAGCCAGGTATGGTGGTGCACATGTGTAATTCCAGCACTCAAGAAGCTGAGGCAGGAGGATCACTATGAGTTCAAGGTCAGCCTGAACTACACAGCGAGACCCTGTCTCAAAAAAACAAAAAGAAAAGAAAGAAAGAGGCCAAGGAAGGTGTCTGGATACCATGATCCAGCACCTGGCTTACCCTCCTCCTCCTCCTCCTCCTCCTCCTCCTCCTCCTCTTCAGCGCATTTCTGAGCATCTCTGAGCATCGGGACGGGACCAGATAGTACTCAGGCAGGTGCACACAGTCCCAGGTTCTCACTGTTCCCTGCCAAGCCCTGAGCTCCTTTCGGGGGAGATTTCACTCTTCTTCATGTTCTTAACACAAGGCTCATGAGAGCTCCATATCTAAAAAGTATCTGATAACTATTTATCAAATCAATAAATTAACTCACAGAGTTAACTTGGACACCCAGGACACTCATAGCCCCCATGTGATCACTTTGAACCCCTGTAGAGGAGGGGTGTAAGGTTCATCTCAACTGCCAGCCCCTGCTCACTCCCTCTCAATGCACCAAGGTGAACTATTAGCTTACAGCACCAGTGTGTGCTCGAAATGACTACCCAGGGAGAGCAGAAAACCTGAGGGACGCACTGGAAAATGCCAGGTGAGGATGAAACCTTCCCCAATTTGGATTCTGGTGGGGGTTTTTTGTTGGAATTTTTTTGTTTTTGTTTTGTCTTTTTGAGACAGAATTTCAATATGTAACCCAGATTGGCCTTGAACTCACAGTGATCCTCCTGCTTTAACCCGCTGCATGCTAGGATTACAGGTATGTGCCACCAGGCCTGGCACTCACTGTTAATGATTTGTTGGTGTGTGTGTGTGTGTGTGTGTGTGTGTGTGTGTGTGTGTGTGCGCGCGTGTGCATGTGTCTGTGTGTACTGCTGGAGATCAAATGTATGGCCCCATACGTACTACCAAGTGCTCTACTGCAAAAGTATATTCTCAATCCCTTGCTTTATTTTTTGTAGACAGGGTCTCAGTTATGTAGCGCAGGCTTACCTCAAAACTCACTGATCCTATTGCCTAAACCGCCCAAATACTGGGATTACAAGCATGTGCCACCACACTCAATTTTAATCCTTTTTTTTTTTTTTTTTTGGTACTGGCAATTGAACTCAGGACCTGATGCTTGCCAGGCAGTCACTGTGCCACTGAGCTAATACTCACAAACATTTTTTGTCCCTGTTGATTGGGGAGATAATTTATATGTGATTGTTTCCTATTTTAAAGATGCTGAGAAAAAAAATGTATGTAATGCACATTCAAGATGCTAAGAAACTTTTAAAACACTGGTGACTATTAAGGAGATGAAATTTCACAATAAATTAATCTTTCTGGGTCTAAACCAGATTGTTTACCCAGTATTTATAATAGGTTTTGTAAAAAATATGATGTCAGGGGCTGGATATTTAGCTCAGCAGCATAAGCACTTGCCTTGCAAGCAGGAGGTCATAAGTTCAATCCCCAGTACCAATAAAAAAAATGATGTTATAAAGAATGAAAAAAATGATTTTTTTTGAGACAGGGTCTTGCTCTGTAACTCAGGCTGGACTTGAACTCTTGGCAATCCTCCTGCCTCAGCTTCCTGAGTGCTGGGATCACAGGGATGCACTACCACACCTTGCTAAAAAGATGTTTTAACTAAATATATAAATATTTGTTTTGGATACACTGTATGGCAGAAAAAAAATATTTGTTACATAAACTTAGTTATTGAGAGGTTTCTTTATGATACGTAAAGCCTAGACAATTTTTTTAGAGAGAAAAGGATAAAAATAACAATGAAACGGTTTCAAGACAGGGTAGTAGGCCAATTACGATAGTTAATACATGGCATATTGTTGTCTTTGTAGTACTCAGTACAAAGTCTAAACAATTTGTCTTTTTTAATACAAAAAGAAAATGAAGGAAAAAAAGGAAGAAATGAGTCATAATTTTTGTTTTTGTTTTTAAAATCGCGAAGCTAACTTTGGTGGCACTCACCTGTAATTCCAGCACTAGGGAGGCTGAGGCAGGAGAATCACTAAGAGGCCAAGTCCACTATGTATGGGTTACATAGTGAGTTCAAAGCCAGCCTGAGTTACAGAGTCAGCCTGCCTCAAGAAACAAAACTAAACAAAACAACCCAACCGATCCAGCTACAGACATACCTCAGCCCACTCCCTCTTGATTTACACCACCATGGCACGCAGGGGCCAGGCCCTGGGATCCTGTCCCCAAAACACTTTGTCATTCCCACTCAACTTCCACACTTCCTTCTCCTTAAGGAAAACAGCTCACCCCGTGTTTGCTCTTCAGGGGCCTCTTTCCCCAAGAAGTTCCCTCGTAATTTTTCTTGAATTTCTTCGAGGTCACGGAGAATCGCTCTTATTTCCTCCTCAGATGTTCTGGAAGCCACTGGTGTAGGAGAAGCCGGGGAAATGTCCTGCCCTGAGGACAAAGCCTATTGAAGAAGCACAAATTCAACTGAATCAAAGTCCCCACTAGAACCCATCAAATACTATACTTAAGTCCCAACACTCATCTATAATTTTCCATTTAATTCCTAGAACATTTTTTAAAAGACAAAACTGAATCCTCACAATTGGGGCTGGTGGCTTAGCTCAGAGGTAGTTCATAGGCCTGGCATCTGCAAGGCGCTTGGGTTCTAACCCCAACTTCACTGGGCACTGAGGAAAATCCGTGTCAGATAGCAATTCTAGAGGTTTTAGTTCAACTTGCTTTCTTTTTTCTTTCTTTCTTTCTGCTGCTGGCGATCAAATCTAGGACCGTGTGCTTTTTAAACATATGCTCCATGGCAAAACCATTCCCCTAGCCCAATCTGTTCTCTGTCAAGTGCTATGTATATTCTAATACTTTTCAGGCTCCCATGTGTACAATACATGAACTTATCAGGTAATGACTAATTTTTTTTTTTTGAGACAGGGTCTCTCTATGCAGGCTGGTCTTGAGCTCACTTTGTAGCCCAGGCTGGTCTCGAACTCGCAGGGATCCTCCTGCCTCAGCCTCCAGAGTGCTGGCATTACAGGCGTGAGCCAGCATGCCCGGGAGGTAATGACTATTTTTATTTTTAAAGCTATCTTAGGCCCATTAAAAGGGCTTTGTAAAACAAATAGAAATACTCATAAACCAAACCAAACAAAATAAAATGGCTGGGCGTGGTGGCAGCTACCTGTAATTCCAATACTCAGAAGCTGAGGCAGGAGGTTTGCTGCGATTTTGAGGCCAGCCTGTACTACACAGTGAATTCAAGGCCAGCCTGAACTAAATAGTGAGACTATCTATCTTTAAAATATATATATATGAATAGTCACTAACATAAGCAACAGGAAAGAATAATCTCCAAACTCTGTAATTATGTCACTTTTTTATTTTGTTTTGTTTTGTTTTTTGTCTTTTTGAAAGAGTCTTGCTCTGTAATTCAGGCTGGCCTTGAACTCACTATGCAGGTGCAGAACCTCAGGGAGGGGCATCTTTAGGTCATGGGGAGCCTGCACTAAAGAGGACTCTGGGACCCCAGTGCCTCCTCTTTCTCTCTTTCGGTCACTGACAATGAGGCAAGCAGTTTTGCTCCACTATCGGAGGCCTAGAAACAATGCATATACCTGAGCAGAACTAGAACCTCTAACCTTTTCTCTTTGTACATTGATTGCCTTGGGTATGTGTTATAGTAATGGGAAGCTGAAAAACAGAGTGGTCAATTGGAGTGTTTGGAGCAAATGAGGTACATGGTCAGATTTATGTCTGAGAAGATCACCCAAGTAACCATGAGAGGAACAGCCTGGAACAGGTGGAATAGTGCACTGACAGACCTGTGATAGCAACACAGGCAAGGTTGGCCGCAGGCTGGGGTTACAGAAGTCTCAAAGGACCTCCAGAGTGAAAGACTACATGATATTTAGGCAGGCCTTGCAGGTACCGTGTGCTGTCTGTTAGGGTATTGAAGAAGGAGGCAGCATGACTTCCAGACCTTAGAAGTACAACAGGGCTAGTACTAAGAGGAGGAATCCTACAGAAAGAACAGTTTGGGGGTGCATTAAGTGACACTTCCTTTTTAAGATATGCAAGAGGAAAAAAATGAGAAGAAAGACAGTAGTCTAGAGCTCAAGATGTAATCCCAGCACTCTGGAAGGCTGAGGCAGCAGGATCCCAAGTTCAAGCCCAGCCTGAACAAATTACTGACTTAATGAAACTGATGTTTTAATTTGTTTTTGATTTCTTATACAGGGTCTCACTATGTAGCCCAGGCTGGCCTCAGATTCACAATTATCCTCCTACCTCAGCCTCCCGAGTGCTGGGATGACAAGCAGGTACCACCAGCCAGGCTGCGAAGTAGTTCCAAAATAAAGAATTGAAGAGAGTGGGGAGGTAGCTTGGTTGCAATTCCCAGTGTGGGGCGGGCTGGGAGGGGCATCCTGGAGCTATATGACTGCACTGTTCCAATCAGTGTTAGCTGTTAATTTGCCTGGATTAAGAGCATCCAGCAGAGAATGAGGGGGCAGGTGTCACTCTGAAGGCTTCTGTAACTCATGTGCAATGCGGTGAACTTCCAAGTATCCATTTGGTGTAAGAGACTGAGACTCCTCCCTCAGCTTCAAACATATTCACACCGCTCCAGCAACGCCACCCCGCCCCATCCCTGCCTCTTCCCACTTCACCCAGGCGCCCAGGGTGCTCACTTCTTTGTCTGGCCGGTATCCCACGAGGGGTCCCTGCCTCTGGACAAGCTTGGTAATGTCTACCAGCTTTCGCGCCAGCACTGTCAGCTCCTGGACAACCTCTGTGATACTCTTCTGTGCTGTCACCTGAAAGAGAGCAAAGCTGAGACTGTGTTCCGGATCTAAAATGTCCCCCAAGCTGGCTATGGTGGCCCATGCTTGTAATCTCAGCACTCCGGGAGGCTGAGGTGGGAGGATCACAAGTTCAATTTCAGCCTGGGCAATATACCAATTTAGCAAGACCTTATCTTGAGGGGAAAAACAAACACAAAATAAACAAACAAAAAAGCTGAGGATGTAGCTCAATATGAAGGCCCTGGGTTCAATCCCCAGTACCATAAATATATAAGTTTTTTAAAAAAAATTTTTAAATGGACAAAGGACCTGACTTGGTACTACTCCAAAGAAGATAAATGAAAGGTCAATAGGTGCAGAAAAAGACACTCCGCGTCACCGGTCACAGGAGAAATGCAATTCAAAACCACGGGTACCACTTTCACACCTGCACTAAGTCGGAGACGCTAAAAAAAACACGGAACAAGCACAGACAAGGACGAGGAAAATCGGAATGGCTGGCGGCTGAAGGTGAGAAGTAAAAGGGTTGCTTGGTCCTCCATAAACTACGCATCTAATTAACCTGTGAGACAGCAGCTCTGCTCCCAGATACAGGAAAGACCAAGTTCGCTTGAGTTTAGCTCGGGTACAGCGCAGGGCACACGTTGGGGGCAAGGGCAGTGTCTGTTCCCAGTAGACAGAAAGGAAAAGTAAGACCAGCAGGGAGGAAAGAAACTAGGGACAGAAGGAAGAGGAGATACGGCCTCCGTTGGAAATGAATGAAAACGGAAACGTTCATTAAAGGATAAATGCATTAAAAAGTGGCCCGCTGCCTGGCATGGCGCTTGCTTGGAATCTCACGCTGAGATAGGAGGGTGACAATTTCCAGCCCAGCCTTGGCTACATAGTGAGACCCTGTCTCAAAAAAAAAACGATGTGGATGTGGCTGAGTGACTTTATACTTTTCTAACATTTCCAAAGATTTTATTTATTTAGTTGTTTATGGTATTGGGGATTGCGCCCACGGGCTTTGCACTGAGCTATCCCCCACCCCCTGCTCTTTTCTAAGTTTTATTTTGAGACAGGGTCTCACCCTAGGTTGGGTTCCAATTTGCGATCCTCCTGCCTCAGCCTTCCGGAGTGCTGAACCGACAGGCGGCGCCCCCACGTCCAGCTGCAGGCTGGGTTTCGGTTTCACTCGGAACGGAGGGGAGCGGGGAGCGCCTGCAGGGAGGCGGCCCGGCTGCGTACCGGCGGCGGCGGCGGCGGCGGCGGCGGCGGCGGCGGCGGTGGCGGCGGTGGCGCGCGGGGCGGGGCGGGTGCGGGTGCGGGCGCGAGCCCCAGCCCGGCCGCGGCGCCCAGCTTGTCCGCCAGGCGCTGCAGCAGCAGGGTCCTCCGCAGCGGGCCGCGCGGCGCGGGCTCCCTGCAGGCGGGGCAGGCCCGGGGCGCCCCCGCGCGCCACGCGCGCTCCAGGCACGCGCGGCAGAAGCTGTGGCCGCAGGGCAGCGTGGTCGGGTCGCGGAGCAGCTCCTGGCAGATGCAGCAGCCCAGGTCATCCTCGTCCAGCCACACGGGCACCGCGCCCTCGCCCTCGCCCGCCATGGGGCCCGCGCCACCGCCCCGCGCGGAAGTCGCCGCCCCGCCACCCTCAGGCTCCGCCCTCGCTCCCCTCCCCGCTCCTCCTCCTGGCCGCCTCTGCACTCTGTCCTGGTTCTGGAGATGTCACTTGTTCAACACTTTCTTTTCACTGTAGAGAAATTTATTTTACTTAGTTTTTCGTTTTTCTTTTCTTTCTTTCTTTTTGTTTTTCCACCTTTTTTTTTCGTTGGAGTTTTTGGAGACAGGCTAGCTATGTGATTCAGGCTGACCTTAAATTACTAATGTACCCAGGAGATCCTCTTGCTTCAGCCTCTCCAGTACTGAGATTGCAGTAGAGGTGCGCCACCTCGCCCTCGCGGCTGAGTAATTTATGCTTCATAAAGTAAATTGACTTTTCACTTTACAATCTACTGTGGACACTTTATGTCACTGTATGGTATCAGTCCATGATGTGGCCAATCTTTTTTTTTTGGGATCGAACTCAATCTCATTTGGCAGGCAAGCACTTGTGCCGCTGAGCTAAATCCCCAGCCCAGATGTGGCCAATCTTAATTATGGTTAGTACCTGTTCGCAGTACATGATGGTTACATTCATGGTGAGGAGCGGGGACACTTACCTATCCCCTCTTAATTCCCTTCCCTGCTCTAGTGCAGCTGTCTGGACAGAGCTGACCTTCAGCTCTGGCCTCCTGCCCTGGTAATCAGTCTGAACCCACTGACATCCCAAAGACGCCCTGAAGCTTGGTGATCCGCCCCCACCCTTGGGAGGAGAGAGGGTTCAATTCGGGAACTCAGTTATGGGTCGGAGCCCAGTAGGTGCCGCCCAGACCCTCTAACTAGTACAGGTTTAAAGAACACAACCCGGACATTTTGAAAATTCTCTGCATGTTGTCTTGTAAGACCTGTAAGACCAGCTGCTCAACTGTGTGTTGTAAAATTTCCCCCACGTGATCCTAACAGGCAGAAGAGAGTGTAACTGAGGCCAGGATTTTAACATCACGATTATAATGCAGAATTGCGACTGCCCTATGAGGGCTGGTACCAATGGGAACCCTGACAAAAACCTGTGAAAGTCTTAGCTTTGTCAGGCCCTGCCTCTTATTCCAGTCCTAGGCCTGTCACCCCCAGAAAATCTCACCAGTCCTCCCCAGTACCCCAAAGAGCTACAGGACCTCCCAGGTTGGCAGAGCGGTGGCAGAGTGGAACCCATGCTACTCGGAGGAATTTAAAATGCCACCTGCTTTACTTTATCCCATTTTGCCTGAGCTAAAAGTCAGACCAGATTACCTCAAGTTTCAACTATTTGCAGTGCAGGAGGCACATAGTAGTCAGTGATGTTTACCCAGGCTTCTGGCTCTTTTCTGTTGTGGATACTTGCAGGACTGGGACCTCTCTGGGCTGTCTGACACACAGAGGAGATGTATGTCCCTCCCACCAGCGTTAAAAGCTGTTGAGCAGTTCGTTCTCTTCTCTGCCGAGCCCTGGGACTGGACATGAAACCTAGCTAAGGAGAGCAGGCTCTCATGGTCCAAGTTAGGACATTGTTTTAGTCGTGCTTTGCAAAAGGAAGGATTAAATACAGGACATCTAATTTATAGGATTATTTTATAATATTCACCCGAGGAGTCAAATGCAAGAGACCGTGGGAGATCTGTCCCAAAGGGTCCAGCCTGGATCCCATGACAGTGTCTTCCACAAGTCCAGCTGGAGGCCTAGAGCCCATGTCAATGTCTCATGCAAGTCTGTTTCACAGATCTGCACAAGAGAAATTGTTCTTTTTAAAACTTGGTTCTTGGGGACTGGGGATATAGCTCAGCAGCAAAACACTTACTTGCAAGTGCAAGGTTGTGAGTTCAATCCCTGGTACCAAAAAAACCCCAGACTTTGTTCTTTTTGTTTTGTTCTGCTTTTTGGTTTTGTTTTTTTTTTTTTTGAGACAGGGTCTCATATGCAGTTCAGGTTGGCCTTGAGCTCACTTTGTAGCCCAGGCTGGTCTCAAACTCCCAACAATCCTCCTGCCTCAGCCTCCCAAGTACTGGGATTACAGTGAGCCACCATGCCTGGCTAAAATTTTGTTCTTTTGAAACTGCTTGGCTCTGTAACTGCTTCATAGCTTTGTAATTTGTTGTACTCTAAGAAAAATAGCTTTGTTATATGTGTATTATAGCAAAGCCAGGAATGTGGCCTTACTGTATATGTGTTTTCCTTCTCCCTCTGGGTGACCTAATTGACATGTTAATCAATGCTCTTCTCTGTAAAGAATTTCAAAACCTTACCTAATTGATATGTTAACCATTGTTGCCCTCTACAAGTAATAGATGTGGTGCTAAGATAAGCTAACAGGAGTTGTTAATTACTCCTAGGCTTCCCCATTCTCTGCTGAGGAAAACAGGGTTTCTTCTTATCTAAACTTGCTTGTATGCAGAGAGACTTGCTTGTTAGCACAACCCTTACCTGACCTTGCTCTCCCCAAGGAATGTAATCTCACCATATTTTCTGTTCTGTAATGCACGGCACTGCCTTTCCCCTTTCCCTACCCAGTGATGGTCTGTCATAAAATGTGCTAATTGCACTGTTCTTTTTTATTTTTTTTTTTTTTGTCTTTTTCCTTTTTGTTGGTACCGGGGTTGAACTCACGACTGGCTGCTTACAAGGCAGGCGCTTATGCCGCTGAGCTAAATCCCCAGCCCCAATTGCGCTGTTCTTAAGAAATGCTTAACTTCAAAGAAATTACAAAAATGTTGTGGCTTAACCCTAATGCACCAAAAGAGTTAAGTTCCAAATCCTTGTAAAAGCTTAAGATTCAGCTTCTTGTAACTTTCGACCCCTTCCCACATGTTAGTGTTAAACTAGCTGTCCCGAGATAATTAACCACCTCACCCCCCTCCGCATGTTATTGCTAGCAAGCTGTCCAATAATTAACTTTCCCGAATGTTATTGCAGATGTGCTATTCCGAGATAATGTTTATCTGTAGAATGGGAGTAACTTAAAAGGCACCAAAGGCTCCCAATATTATCAGAACTAAGTGGGCAGCTTTACAGTTTCCAGACTTGAGTCAACAGCTTGAGGGCTCTGCAGGTTTCTTTGTTTTTTTTCTCCCTCCCCTGCTGTTAAAAGCCCGTCCTTTATTCTCTGCATGCGCAGTCTCCAAATTGGCTCCCGGAGACTCGTAGCCAGGCCTGGCCTAAATAAAGCCTTTGCTCCCCAAATTTAATTTCTTGCTTCCTTGGATTTTATTCCGGGGTCTGAGCTATCACATAATTATTTTCTTTTTTTTTTTCTAGTTTTTTTTAAATTGGTACCAGGGATCAAACTCATGACCGCATGCTTGCAAGGCAGGCGCTTATGCTGCTGAGCTAAATCCTCAGCCCCTGTAATTATTTTCTTGAGTCCTGTAACCATGAGAACATAACCGCACATACAGTTTGCCTGATTGTACCACTGTGCTGAACTTCATAAACTGATGATCATTAATCTACCCTTGTAACTGATGATCTCACCCTACTAGCTAATCAGAAGAACTGCTGGGCTACTCTGTCTTGCTTTTGTACCTCCTCCGTACCTCCTGTGTGAGCATCATGTGAAAACCCTAGACCACCAGAGATCAGGGCCTGATATTCTGGGAATGACCCCAGTCAGTGCCTCTTGATGTAAATAAATCTGACTCAAAATCCTGGTGGTGTTTTGGTGTTTCCGCTTGCAGGAAGGCCCAAAAGCCAGTGGTGCAAGCTAGAAAGTCTGCATTGGATTACGGTTCTGTGTCAGCCCGCTGAGGGACCCGCACAGGAGCCAGGAAGTGACGCTCAAAGTAAAGACCAGAGCTTCCCCCGCAAAGAGAACTGCAGCCATCCTCAGTGAATGCAAGGACCCGAGCTCCTCCGATTATAAGAACAGCCAAGTTCCTGTCAGGAAGAACACAGAGGCTAGCTTCTCCAGGGCAGAACCCTCTCTCCCTCTAGTTCTCTTTTTTTTTTTTCTTTTTTTTTTTTTTTTTTTTGCACTGGGGATGGAACTCACAACCTCACACTTGCCAGGCAGGCGCTTAGGCCACTGAGCTAAATCCCTGGCTCAGTTCTCTTTTTTTTATGCTGCTGGCAACAATCCTCAGGGGTCCTTCTGTACCGAGCACCTTGCTGACTCAGTTCAATTGAGTGTTACAAATTGATCACCTGTTGTCAATCCACCACAGACTTGCCCTAAAAAGTAATGTGTGTTACATTCAGCTTACTGAGATGCAAGGGTGGGTGCTTGCTTGCTGCTTTAGCAAAACAAACTAACAAGCAAACTTGAAATCTTCTCCCCAGACTCCAACAATCTAGCTGATCCTGACTGATGCGTTTCTTGGACTTGTTCCTGAATGCGGAGTATTCTTATAGCTTCTCTTTCCTAATCTGTAAAATAGTCTTGACATTAAAACACTTAATATACTTAATATACTCGAATGTTCCATCATTTAAAAAATCAAACTGGGGCCTAGAGATGTAGCATATTCAGCCCCTGCCCAGCATGCCTGGGGCTCTGGGTTCAAACTGCAGTACTAGGAAAATCACCTTGGATCTAACTTCCCTCCAGCCAGCTGTCCTCTATTTCAGAGCTAAGTTTCTGGAAAGATGGAATTAACCAGTGACTTGCAACTCTTTTCCCCCTTAAAAGTTTTATGCAAAGTAATTCGGTGACTACAAATAGTGAAGAGGGAGTGGTCAGTTCTAGAAAACAAAAATACACCAACAAAAATACATTTTCATTGGAAACCTGCCAGAGCATTGGTAATGTCACACCGTGTTACTGGGGAGGCCAAGGCAAGAAGATCATAAGTTCAAAGTCACCTTGGGCAGTTTAGTAAGATCCTGTCTCAAAATACAGTTTAAAAAGGGCTGGGCTTGAAACTCGGCACTCCCTGTATTCCCTCCTCCGTTCTGAAAGGCAGAAAGGAAGAAAGAATGAAAGAAAGAATGAATGAAAGACAGAAAGAAGAAAGAAAGAAAGAAAGAAAGAAAGATTGTATTCTTCTGTTATTTTCTTAAATTTATT